CTCTAACAACCACACCACATTGGCTCTCTGCACAGAGCTACATACCAAAATATATATCACACCAGGGATATTAGACAAGGAAAAGATCTACAAGATAATTGAAAGCAGCCGCCCTTTCATTAGTGCCATGTTTTTATCTACTTATTTTAATGTCTGACTTCTTCTGACATTAGTAATAAAGATAACTTCATTTTTGCTATTGTGAAATGCAGCCACCCTCAAGCTTGTACTGCTGAACAAAGGTAGCTCAGTGGCCTGTTTTCCTGTATTGGATATATCCCCCCCCCACCTCCTTGTACAATTCAGAAGCCAACAACCTTTCTTTTCCCCCGGCAAATAATTTTTTTCCGCTTGCAGATTATTTCCATTTCAATGTTCTGTTCCACACAGCTGCGAGCTGACTGTAATTTGCCACGGCCGTAGTCATCATGATACGTAAAGAAAAGTGCAGTTGATCTAACAAAGGCTCAGCAGAGGAACCGCTGGAGTCTTTTAAGCAATATCATGGCTATGAAAAAGTAATCGGCCTCCTTCCTCCAACAGCTGCAGACTAAAATAGGCTGTCTTTACCCCTGTGCAAAGGTCAGAAGCAAGGAGCTATTGCACCATTTCTGTAGTCCATATCAGAAACCAGGCCCAAGTTAAAAGATGCTGCAGCCATACTTGGATATGTAAATTTGTATTTATTTATATTTAATCCCAGGGCTTCGGACGTCATGCATTCAAATCAGGTATTCTACCCGACTGGGTTACCAAATGTCCCCTAATATTCAGCCTGTATATCAGTCACCTAAATATCCAATATGCTTGGGTTATGACATTCCTACATCCATTTGGCTAGGCTTCTCCAGAATACCTAAACCCCAGGCTGGGTATGTGTGTGCGGGTGTTTGAAACCTACTAAAATCAAGAGGAGGAGCTCAGGCATGTGATCAGGTGAAAGCACAGATTAAGGCTGCAGTCCAGCAGCTACATCAATGCATCCAGTTTGCTCTTGGCATTACCTAGGCACCTGTGTTGCACCTGTGGTTCCCAAGCATGTTTTAAGTGCCACTGATAACAACGAAATGAATGGGACTCGGAAGCACTCAGTTGTGCCTTGATTGTGCCCCTTATTTGCTGGCTTACAGTTAGAAGATAATCACCCACCTCTGCAAACTGAAAATCACTCTTCTTTAATGTTCTCCATTGGTTCATTTCCCGTTTTACTCTGGCAAATCCTTCATGTTGTTTGAGGATGGCAAGAGCTTAATACAAACTGGGGTGGGGTGGGGGGTGGGGAGAGAAGTTTGCTTCTTCATAAGCATCTTATCATTCTGGTGGGTGCTCTAAGACCCTCTTTAAACCTCCGTGGGTGCAGTTTATGCAGGCTTCTGTTGTAATGGAAGACTAGCGCATAACACGAAGCATCTTATCAGTCCTTTCCGACATTCCTCCCCTTCAACGGGGTACTACCAACTCTCTTTTTTTGGGTTGCAATGAAAAGGTCTAATTTGATTGCTGGAGATACTTGATTTCTAAATCAACTACTGTTCTAGGCAACTTTGACACTATTCACTGGGAGAATCTGTGACAGTTTGATTTTCAATATTATTAATTATTTTTTCATTATTTAAATATGTTTTTTTAATTGAATTGTTAAACTACTTTGTTGTTTGCTGCCCTGGGTTCCTTTAGAGGAAGGGCTGGAATAATAATAATAATAATAATAATAATAATAATAATAATAATAATAGTTCCTTCATAAAATTTATACAGCACTTTAAAAAAAATCCCTCAAAATAGTTGTATAACAATAATATGCAGGATTTGATATGAGGTAGCAGATCTGCTTCCTTGACTCCAGCTCTATTCTGCTTCAGGGGTTGGAGAACCTGTAGCCAGGAGTGGACCTTGATAATATGACGCCTTGTGTGTGGCCAAAAATTGACACCCTGACCCCACCTGCAGCCCTTGTGCCACCTTCCCAAAGGTGGCACTGGGTTTTGGGGAAGAGGAATGAGGCTCTGGCGGCATCCTAGAGCCCTCATTTCCAAAGCTGGGCAAGCACTAACTAGGCTTGAGAAGAAGGCCTGAAGATGCCCCCTTGGCTCCCGTGCTTGGGGGAGGCTCCTCTGCTGTGGCCCTTCAGACATCTTCTGTTTGGGGATGTGCAGGAACCCATTGTATGCTTTGCCCCCACTGCCAGGGGTAACTAAACCTTTCAGCATTTAGCACTGGCCATGTTGTAACATCACATGAGATTATGCATTGAATTCCATGGACGGTCTTGTGTTTTTTGGCATCTGTGTTGAGAGACAATGGAGGGCGCCTCTGGGGCGAAGTCAAACTACTGCGTCAGCACCACCAACATCCCTGGGATGCAAGGCTGGGCAATGTGTAGGGAGGTCCTGGTCTACCCAGATGACAAGACACCCCCCCCCCCAGCCTCGCTGATGTGGTCCAAAAGAAAACAGAGCAATACACTTGGCACTATCTTGGCTGCAGGAGTTGCCAGGAGGAGTACAAAGCACCATCCAACCATCTTAGGGACTCCACTCCAGATTTGTGTAGGGTTTCCTCCTTAGCTTTTTCTTCTCCCAAAGGCATCCCACAAGGTAGCTGAGGTTAGGACCAGAGCTTTCCTCCTAAATGGGCTGCCTTCCCAGGTTGACAAGCTATCTGCCCCTTACTTCCCTCTACAGCACATGCAGAAGCTGCCTTCTTGACCATTGGACTCACTATTGGTCTTGTCCACTCAACCTGCCAGAGACTGTTTTCACACACAAGTGAAGTCGTTGACTCACCAAGGGTTTGAGACCTATCAGCTACCTTCACCTGGTTTAGCCTGCCAGTGAAAACCGTTCCCGGGATGTGGCCACTGCCGCATGTTGACAGCTTCTAGGAGCCACAGGTGAGAGCTGAGTGCAGGGTGGGGACCAAAGATGGAGAAACGACCCCAGAAGGAGCATGACATGTCCCTCACCAGAGGCACTACCAATGTGCTCGGCTTTGGGACTGTACCATGTGTGCCCTTTATAAAACAGTGAATTCATGGGCTCCTGGTCAGGGTAGTGGAGGCAGAGAATAAAGAAAAGCTATCCTCACATGATGCAACACAGCACAAAAGGCTGAAGCACGGAAACTGAAGGCCATGTTTTCAGTGTCCTTCTTTCCCTTGCCCAGAATACAGGAAGGCCGATGTGTTACAGACATTATGATTTGTACAAACAAATCCCTCACGTCTTCTCAGTTCATATTTATATATCTTTTTCATCTAACGGTTTACAGCAGTAAGCAGTAGATGTCCCCCAACCCTCCTCAATTTTGGCTTCCGTACCCAGAATAGTTTAAAGCCGGAAATTCTATCATTTTTTATAAGGCACTTTCCACATCCCTCGCTTGAAGGTCACGCTGATGATTATCTCCAGTATAACTGAAGAACCGTGTAATTACAGCGAAATGTCACCTAGAAGAATAATCGCTTCTAGTCAAACGTCTCAGCTAGAAATATGCTGCTGCCAGTCTTCACTTCTAGAATAAAGTTGGAAACAACAGGGAAAGGGTGTGGGGAGAGATTGGACCTTTTCCTTCACAGCAGTTTTGTTTTCTTCCAAACAGCGTAATCTGTTTTGGTTCCGAAATTGAATTACTTAAGTAGCTTGTCCCAAGATCCCTTATTTGTACAATGTTCCATCTCCTTGTGGTTGCTATAAAGTTACATTCCGGCCCTCTCTGATTAGATTTCATAGCGAGCAAATTACAGCTTCTCCTTTCGAAAAAGCACTTTTGCATTAGTCACGAGGATTAGTAACACTCGGATCAAAGGATATCTTTGCAGAGATCCTATAGACACGCAGAGAGCTAGCAACTTGGTGAGGAGATGCAGAATTAATCTGGGACATAAGGACTATAATCTTTATCTGCCCCACCAGGCGCTGACTCTCAAGTCCTTTTGTTTCCAAGCTGTCTTAAGCACATGTGTCTGTGGGCTGGTTTGTAGCCCAGCGTTATCAGCAGTAGCAGAACTTTTTATCTGAAACAGATCTCATATTATCTTTAATCCTTCTAGGATCCCAGAGAGCTATTTGAATTTGCTGTAGGAGAAGACAGCAGCATTTATACCAAAGGAAGCTTGTTGTGGTCTTTGGGAAGAAGAAGAGGAGTTTGGATTTGATATCCCGCTTTATCACTACCCTAAGGAGTCTCAAAGCGGTTAACATTCTCCTTTCCCTTCCTCCCCCACAACAAACACTCTGTGAGGTGAGCGGGGCTGAGAGACTTCAGAGAAGTGTGACTTGCCCAAGGTCACCCAGCAGCTGCATGTGAAGGAGCGGGGAAGCGAACCCAGTTCACCAGATTACGAGTCTACCGCTCTTAACCACTACACCACACTGGCTCCCTTACTCCCTTGGGCAGTATGCATCTAGCACATCAAATCCATACAATAATTTCTGATTCTGAAAGGGACTTTCCCCCCCTCCTTCCAGCATCCATGCCCTGCATCCTCACCCAATTTGTTCTGAAGACACCAGCCAGAGCACCAAGAGGGCTCTACCCTCTACCTCACAGGGAGAACATCGTGGGAAGTAGGAGGTTAATCTGACCCATTGATTGGCCACTGGCCAGCAATGGGGCAGCTCTGCTGGTGCTTGCTTTCCTCTGGGTCCCCAGCTTGAACTACAACTCCCTTTAACTCCTACAACTGGTCATGGTAGCAAGGGATAATGGGAGTTGAGAAGGCTGCTCTAGATGTTGTTGGATTATAATTCTCATCATGCCTTGTGACTGGCCGTGTTGGCTGCGAATGATGGGATTTGGAGGCCTATGACATCTCAGGGGCCCAGCCCTGATTTAGACCACACATAACAGAGTTTGGCCTTTCCAAAGGCAGTTTGCTCCTTATGTTTAGCAGGCTATTGGAATTCCCTCCAGCCTTGGGGGGGATTATAGCTATTACTTCTCTGGTCTTTATGGGCACTGAGACAGGGAAATAAAAGAATCACACATGAACAACACTGTACATGAAAAGCTACCATGTTATGATATAGTGATGAGCGAGGATCTTGTTGTTTCTGTTTCTATTTCCACTTTCTTTCGTTGGAGAAGCTTCTATCCCTGCTTTGTGACTTCTCCTACTTCTTCTGGTCATGGGTGAAGGGTTCCAAAAAGGCAATTCAAACCTCTTAACTTTTTGTGCATTGTATGGAGCAGAATTTTCTCATGGGCTGCTGTTCACAGGATGTCCTGTTTATAGTTTTCCGGGTTTGGCGCACATCAGCCTTTCCACATGATAAGTCAATCCTGCCCCGATCCTGCCTTTTCCTCTTTCCTTCACTTGCAAGCTGCTTGAGCCTTCCAACGTTGAAACTCCGTCGTCATGAAGTGGGGGGGGGCGGTTAGGAGAAACGCATCCTCAACAAGGGCTCTGCGAGACCAGAAGGAAATTTGAGAGCGCACACTATAATTTGCTGGAGGAATCATGCTATTTACACGCGGCTATAATAAAAGCCTGTCAATTTATTTATTTATTTTGCAAGCGGCTCGCCGGCAGCAACAGGAGCGTTCAGCAAAAAGTGCCTCCCACAAATTCCTTGGATGACCATGGAAATCGCTGGGTGTAAAGGCTCTCACGATGTATAATAAAGGGGGCGGGACAGAACTGGAGTACTTGATGTGCAGAAAAAGCTGCCCGTACTGTCAGAGCCACCGCTGGGAAGCTACAGAATAGATATAATTACAACCATTTGTTAGCTCTTTGGGCAATAACCCGTACTTGCATAACAGCCCCAGCAACTCGTCTGTAAAGTCTGTTATGGCAACAAACAAAGCTTGCTAAGGAAGTACTAACATTTCCTTTTCCCAAAGAGTGGAGCAAGTTGAAGTCAAGTTTGTTTTTAATCCAACCTGAAGCCCTTCGGATGCATTTGGAATACACCTCTCAACATCCAGCATAGTCAATGGTCAGAGGTGATGGGAGTCCAAAAAAAATCTGAGAGACATCAGGCTGGAATATTATTATTATTATTATTATTATTATTATTATTACTACTCCACCCATCTGACTAGGTTTCCACAGCCATTCTGGGTGGCTTACAGCACATAAAAAAAGGTAAAACATCAGACATTAAAAAATTTCCCTATACAGAGCTAACTTCAGATGCCTTCTAATAGTCAGACAGTTGTTTATCTGATAGGAGGGCGTTCCACAGGGCAGGTGCCACAACCGAGAAGGCCCTATGCTTGGTTCCCTGTCCGAGCTGAACAATGGGGGTGGCTTCTTCAGGTGTACTGGGCCAAGGCCGAGGCTGCTTCAGATCTAAGAAGCTAGAAAAACTATGATCTTTGGTCAGATATAGGTCCATGTTTTGATTTCCTTCTAACCACCAGCAGGTTGCTTTTGCTTTGTCTGCTTGGAATGAGCTCAGAGATCCCTCCTTAAGAAAAGTTCAAGGCGTGTGCAAACAATGTGTCCCAGTGAATTTTATGGTTTGTTTATTAATTTATATTCCACTTATATCAGAACCAGTGAAGGTGGTGAATGTCCTGTGTGAGTGTCTGGACTGTGTGAATGAGGGTGAAACCAGATGCAATGTTAAATGTGTCTTTGCATTTAACATGCATCTTTTAAAAATGCAAATAGAATCCAATGGAAGGCACTGGCAATGATCAGAATCACAGAAAGCAGGAAGGAGGGATTTAACACTTTCCTCTCCCGCTGTGATCCTGAGGGAAATTCCTCCTTTGAAGATGCTATTTGCTTGCATGGAATTCCCTTGTGAAGCTTATTTTATTTTTATCTTTTTTAAAAAAAAACACAATTGACTTGCCTTTCTGCGTAATGCCTAAAACACCACACATCACTGAGGCAATAGCACTGGCGGAAAACAGGGGTGCGAAGGGAGCGGACTGCCCCCAGCACCACTATTCTGGTGCCATCGTGGCGGCCCCCCCAGACACAAGCTGCGCACACCCCTGAATGCCGGGCCCCATGGCCCCACAGGCAGCGCGTCACACCCCCAGAACACGCCCCACGCCCCTGCGGGCTGTGCACCATGCCCTCGCAGGTGGCATACCATGCCCTGGGATCCGCACCATGCCCCCGCAGGCGGCACACATTGCCCCCGCGGGCACCAGCTACGCCCCCACCTGCTCTCCGCCCCCGGTAGCGGAGCATGCAGCTTCGCCACTGGGCAATAGAAAGTGAATATTGCATCTCTATGGAAATGGACAGTGAACAGCATATCGATTGTCTCCAATCGATACAAAATTGTATTATTTTGGCATGATTTTTATGATCGTCTCGCACATATAGTTTCCAGGGCAGGGGGAGAATGTGCTGTGGAACTTCATGACAACAATCCTCTTCTGCAAAGAGCAGAGGTTCGCTGCCTTAAAACATTTCCACACACAATTTGTGCCCAAGCATGTAAAGTCCAAGGCCTTTTCTGCTTTAATGCAGCAAGAGGGAGGGTGTCAGATTCCCTCTCCCCTTCAGCCTTTAGAACTCACATGATTATTTGCTGCTATCGCACGCACAGAAACGGCATCAGATGCTCTTTTTCATGAGTTTTCATGAAGATGTCGAGCCCGTGTGCAGCAGCTGTGAAAAAAGGCAAATTCCGCGTTAAGGATCATTAGGAAAGAGATTGCAAATAGAACTGCCAATATCACAATGCCGCTGTACAAATCTACTGTGCCACCGTGCTTGGAATACTGTGTGGGCAGCTTGGGTAGCCTGACATGAAAAATAATATCACAGAGCTAGGAAGCTGCGGCCAAAATGATCAGCTGAAGGAATTGGGGCTGGAGCAACTCCAGGGAAGGTTACAACATATGGGGCTGTTTGGTTGGGGGGGCAGTGAGTAGGGGGTGGCATGAAGTATAATGGTGTTATAGATTGGGGAGACCCTCCTAAACCCTAGAAATTAATAAATGGTAGGATTTTGATTATTTGGAGGGAAGACTGCACGCCAGTAGAAAAATACAAGCTTAGCTTCCTTTCCATGCCAGAACATCACCAGGGATAGATGGATTAACATGACAAAAGGTGTTGATGGCCCATCTTGGACCTGAGCAGACAGAAGGTTACCAGGGTAACTGGGTGTGAAGTCACAGGCAAAGAAGGTCTGTAGCAAGGTGTGCTGGGAGGGAGAGAGAACATGGGGAGTTCCATTTTGGGCAGGCTGGCTGAAGGCTGGCTGGGAGAGATGCCTTCAGTTCCAGTGCTGCCCTGCTATGGGAACTAGTTCTTCTTGGGGTGACAATGCAGTAAGATCAGGACTCCCTCCATGCAAACTGAAGGTCTAAATATGTGAACAAATCATATTTCTTAAAACTACGACAGTCTCTGCCGCATCTTTAATTCTCCGAAGGAGCACAAACCCTGGGTGAGCACCTGGAACCTCCTGGAGTCTTGCTACCCCTAGAGAGTGGGGGTGGCACCCAGCTTCTATAACAATATTACATATGGTGTGGCTTAAGGGGGCAGAGGTAGTTTTTTCACCCTCTCCATAATACTAGAACCTGGGACCATCCAGTGAAGCTTAACACTGGAAGATTCAAGACACAAAAGACAGTGCATGTAGTCTACTGTATGGAAGTAAGAGTCTTCACATCCATTGCTCCACCCACGTCCCCCCTGTGGTCTCGCCCAACACCGCCATGTGGCCCCAGCTGGTTCTCCATGCTGGAATGTGGCCCTCAGGCTGCAAAAGCTTTTCCCTTCCAGGTGAAGCAGACATTTTGCATTGTTTGTTGTGGATTATCTCGCGTCACCTCCACCACTTAAATGACACATCAGCGGAGATGTAGTTCATCACTTCTAATACAACATGAGGTTCTGCCCACGCTAGGTCCTTATTTGATTCTGGAATGCTTTGAGTGCCGTTTATTTTTAAAACAATGCGCCAATATTTTCAGTGCAGCTTATATGGGAAGAACCAGTAGGCAGAACTCCTACGTACAGCTTCATTTCAGAACTTCGCACCAGCTACGCCAGCCAGCAAAAAAATCTGCTTCTCACAAAATTGCCACTCTGCATTCATTAAGCTGTCAGTTGCTCACCAAACTCTTGGATGTCCATAACGTTATTGCAAGGAGCAGAAAAAGGAGCAAGCAAAACTATTATTATTCTTAATAAGAAAATTTAACTTGTTAGTTGCTTAACACAGAAGAAAAAATTCTCTAAGTGACTTACAAAAATCTCTTGATCGTTACTTACAACTTTTGTTTGTACCTGCCAGATGTGGAAGTGAACTTAGGAGGAACAGACTTGCCCAAGGCTACCCATAAGATCTAGAACCAAGGTGAGATTTGCAGAAGAGGCCAACATTTCTCCACGCTGTTTTAATGATCAAGGCACTTTTTGGCTCAAGGTTTTGCTCGGCAGAGCAAAAGTGACTGTTTATTGTTCATCATCCTTAAGTCAGTTGAGCTCTGCTGCTCTGAACTCTAAATAAAAGATGGATGGAAATTAGGTTAAACATCAAAGCCGTAAGAGAGTGCCCTGTGCGTGTGGCTTAAAGCAATAAAAAAAGAGCTCTGTAATTGCATGCACTTTTGAATTAACCAGGCCATGTCTTGCAGCAAAGCAAGCCTGCGTGACTTGTAGCCCATCAAGCCAAACACGGTTTATGTATCATGGCCGAGATGCTGGATGGGGAGGGGAGTGTTGTCAAGCATCTAGAAGACCTCAATATATGGGTGGTAGGCTGTAGGATGGATGCCGGCTAACAGATTGAGGCTGAATCCTGACAAGACAGAAGTACTGTTTTGGGGGACAGGAGGTGGGCGGGTGTGGAGGACTCCCTGGTCCTGAATGGGGTAACTGAAGAACCTGAAGAACCAGCTGCGCAGCCTGGGAGTCATTTTGGACTCACAGCTGTCCATGGAGGCGCAGGTCAATTCTGTGTCCAGGGCAGCTGTCTACCAACTCCATCTGGTACAGCAGGCTGAGACCCTACCTGCCCACAGACTGTCTCGCCAGAGTGGTACATGCTCTGGTTATCTCTCGCTTGGACTACTGCAATGCGCACTGTGTGGGGCTACCTTTGAAGGTGACCCGGAAACTACAACTAATCCAGAATGCGGCAGCTAGACTGGTGACTGGGAGCGGCTGCCGAAACCACATAACACCGGTCTTGAAAGACCTACATTGGCTCCCAGAACATTTCCAAGCACAATTCAAAGTGTTGGTGCTGACCTTTAAAGCCCTAAATGGCCTCAGCCCAGTATACCTGAAGGAGCATCTCCACCCCCATCGTGTGCCCAGACACTGAGGTCCAGCGCTGAAGGCCTTCTGGCGGTTCCCTCACAGTGAGAAGCCAAGTACAGGGAACCAGGCAGAGGGCCTTCTCGGTAGTGGCACCCGCCCTGTGGAACACCCTCCCACCAGATGTCAAGGAGAACAACAACTACCAGACTTTTAGAAGACTTCTGAAGGCAGCCCTGTTTAGGAAAGCTTTTAATGTTTAATAGACTACTGTATTTTAATATTGTGTTGGAAGCCACCCAGAGTGGGTGGCTGGGGGAACCTAGCCAGATGGGCGGGGTATAAATAATAAATTATTATTAAATTATTATTATTAATCAGCTTAGCGGATTATAAATTGTGCTGCTCCGTTGTAAAGCACAGACTGGCCTTCTCTCAGCTGCCCTACAGAACACAAGTAGAGAGCTCTGTTGGATCACCCCAGTGGCCCATCGAGTCCAGCCTGATGCTCTCACAGTGCCCAACCAGATGCAGGCAGGCAGGCAGGATCGGAATCCAACAGCGTTCTCCCCTCCTGCAGTTTCAGCATCTGGTAATCAGAGGCATAGTGCTTGCAACTGTGGAGGCAGAACATAAAAGACTCCGGAGGTACATTAGTAGCCACTGATTTATCCTCCACGAATTTGTCTAATCCTCTTTTAAACCCATCCAAGTTGGTGGCCATCATTGCCTCTTACGGAGCAAATCCCATAGCTTAACTATGCGTCGTGTGAAGAAGGACTTTCTTTTGCCTGTCTCGAATCCTCCAACATTCAGCTTCATTGCATGTCCACAAGTTCCCGCATCATAAGAAAAGGAGAAAAACATTCTTCAGCTGCTTTCTCTGCACCACACATAATTTTATAAACTTCTATCGTGTCCCTTTTTACTCACCTTTCCTCTAAACCAGGGTTTCCCAAACTACAGTTCCCATAATCCCTGACCACTGGTCCTGCTAGCTAGGGATGATGGGAGTTGTAGTCCAAAAATAGCTGGAGACCCAGGTTTGGGAAACCCTACTCTAAACTGAAAAGCTCCAAGTGTGGCAGCCTTTCCTCATTTCCTCTTTCATTTTGGTTGCCCTTTTCTGCAAATTCTCCAATATCCTTTCTTAAGGGGATCTGACCAGAACTGTACACAGTCTTCCAAGATTTGCACAATGGAATTGCAGTATGGGCAGTTTTATCTCCTATCCCTTTCCTAATGATTCCTAGCATGGGATCCACCATGAAGAAGAAGAAGAAGAAGAAGAAGAAGAAGAAGAAGAAGAAGAAGAGGAGGAAGAGGAGGAGGAGGAGGAGTTTGGATTTGATATCCCGCTTTATCACTACCCGAAGGAGTCTCAAGCGGCTAACATTCTCCTTTCCCTTCCTCCCCCACAACAAACACTCTGTGAGGTGAGTGAGGCTGAGAGACTTCAAAGAAGTGTGACTGGCGCAAGGTCACCCAGCAGCTGCATGTGAAGGAGCAGAGACGCGAACCCGGTTCACCAGATTACGAGTCTATCGCTCCTAACCACTACACCACACTGGCTCAGTTGCCACATGCTGAGTCCTTCCATCCTTCCATGAGGAACCTTAGACCTGGAGGGAGGGGCAATTGTGGTTCTCCAAGCTTTTCTGTCTAACCTTTGGGAATCCCCCAAGGCCAGGCCACAATCCCTTCTGGTTCTACTTCTGACCTTCCTCAAGAATCTTTACCTGGCTGGAAAGTGTCCTTGAACTCTGATAATAATGGAGGGGGAAATAGAGAGGCGGATGGGAGTGTCTGTAGAAACTCGTGGACTGTCCAAAAGTAAAATTTGCATTCACGGCTCCACCCGTTTTTCCTCTGGCCCCACTCAGCACTGGCATTTTGGACTCCAGAAAGCAATTTGCCCCTCAGACTGAAAAAGGTCCCCCAGCTACAGAGTAATGAGCTTAAGGAAATAGATTTCTCAAGAAAAGCTTTTTGTATTACTATACCATGTCTCGGAGCAGAACTGTAATCCACACTGTACAGAACCAACACTAACTGCCTACTCCATGATACTTGCCAGCAAAAATATATAATTAGCTGTAAACTCTGAAAGGCCCAGTGAGTCTATAAAAGTGAAACGGCTGTCCTTTAATTGCCATGCATCCCTGATGCAATGAGGTTTCTCACACAGCATGTGCCCTTACTTGTTAATTTCACCCTAAAAAAAAAACCAAAGCCCACCAAGATCTAATAATATTTCCATCGCATTGTCCTTTTGTCCCCACAGATGTGATTTAAAGGAGATGGGGCTGGGTGCTACAAACAAAGTATCCGGTGCTGTTGTGGGGAAATTAACTTAATCGCTTCAATGTTAATTGTTTTAGCTACACCAGATTGACTAGGCAATAAATGGTTCCCCCAATTTTCTTCTTCAGCAGAGCAAGAAATTAGACAAGTTGAAGCAAGATAATAATCAGCAGGGGAAATTATTATTTTCAGAAAAGATGCCTGGAACCTAGAGAATTAAATCTCCGTGACAGCCAAGACGTGAATATTAATTGAATCTCAAATAATTCATTTTTTTTCAATTTACGCCTGACAAACAACAATCACAAGGTGGCGGCTTCAAATCATTTGTTTGATTCCTTCTCTCCCCTATTTGCTCTTTCAGATGGCTGTAGGGCGGAGGTGGGAAGACCTTAGGTTTTTGCACTTTGTTTTTGTACTGGATCATTGCAGCCCATCAGCTACAGGGAAGTGCAAAATGGTGGTTCAGGGTGTGTGGATGTACATGCAAAGGATCGTGTCCTCCTGAATATACCAGCCTAGATTGTCAGATCTTCCTTGGAGGCCCTTCTACAGGTTCTCCTGCCTAACTGGTGAGGCGGCTTGGCCTTAGAGTGAGGGCCTTCTTCAGTTGTGGTGTCCTAATTATGGAATACCCTCCCCCTACAGCTCACTTGGCACCAATATTAAGATTTTTCAGTGCTAAGTGAAGATTACCGCAGGCCTTTTAGAACCATACTTCAGTCCTTGGAACAAATTATGTGCAGCCTGGTTTTAGTTCTTGTTTTTGGAATGATCTTGAACAGCTAATGCTGTTTTTTAAAAAATATGGACGTTGCATTGATTTTTCTGTTTTGCCTTTGTTGATGTGGTTTGAGTTTTGCAAAAGAAAAAGAAAATCCAGAAGAGTATACATGTCGGTTTCTTGCAGCAAAAACAATCAAGGAGCCTTGAGGCGCCTTAAAGACAAATGAATGTCATAGTATTTGTACCCTGCAACCATACTTTTGGGTTGTCAGTAACAGACATTGTGCTTCAATAAGACATTAAATATATAAAAATATTATTCATTCCACCATAAATTTGTTAGTCTTTAAAGGGACTGCAAGATTGTTTCTGAATTTTGTATAAACTGTCAGAGGGCACTATTAATGGGAAGTCAATAAATGTCCAAATAAATAAAATCAATAGGTTGCAAGCCTATGCACACCACTGGGGAGTAGATCCCATTAAATTAAATAGCACTTACTTTCGACTAGACATGCATTAGGATTGCACTGTTAAGGTTAAACAACAGCATGCCTCTCAAATACATGGTCATCTTAGGAATTTATTTCCTGAGTTCACTGCCCTTTCACAGAAAAAGCTACTCCTGGCTCTCACAAGCAACGGGGAAGAAATTTGATTCAGTTCGCATTTAAAGGCAACCTTACTTAATTTGCACTTTCTGAAATGACACACAAACCAAAACACAGGCGTCCCTCAAAATTCACATTGCAATGGAGTTTTCCAGCCAAATATGGTGGCAAAAAAAGGATTGTGCTATGCTACCATGAGTATGTAGATGCATAGGTTAGTGAAAACAGCATGTAAAAATGCATTACATTAGGCAAAAAATGCATATGTGTACACTAGGAAAAATTTTCGCACACAAAAAAAGCTTATGCATTTTCACGAGAACTGAACTTAAGATTGGAACAATGAGAAACTGAAAATGATATATTTGCCTCACACACACATCCTCGCACTTTTTCCATTTCAGCAAACTAATTTAGGGAGGCGGGTTGCTGTTACTGTCAAACAAATTTGAATCAGAAAGCCTTGCTACTCTACCATTCTACATTTGGTCTAGCCCTGCTGCAGAGCAGGTGACCAGCCCCTCTGCCAAGCCCAATCGATGGCAAAGCAAACATTTCCACTTCTCTGAGCTTGCCTTCTTATCACCGACCTGTCTTACGGAGGATGATGTTGTCTTTTTGTGGGCTTGTGTTATTTGTTTGTGGCAAAAGATCTGAGCCAGAATGACAGCAGTGAACCTACACGACACGACGCATCTGCTATACATGTAATATCCAACAACAAGGGATTGAGGGGACGCCACCTTATGTCATTTCTCCTCATTCAGCTGCTCTCAAGGAAACAGAGTTCGCTATGACCACATTGTCAGAGCAGCAGTCAGTGGCAACAATTAGCTGTCAGTTGAATAGTTCTTTCCAGCACTGCCTGCAGAGAGATGCAGGCAACTGCTATCACACTTTCGAACAAGAGCATATAGCTCTGCAGTAGCTGTGATGCTCTGGAATGTTTCCTCCTCTGGAGTGGAGATCTTCTGGAACAGATCTGCACAAGATGTGATCCACCCAGACAACTTCGGTCTTTCAGCCATTCCTGGCGGTCCATTTAAGGTTCAGTAGCAGGCATCTTCTTTCCATTGCACCTCTACTAGAGAGCCAGTGTGGTGTAGTGGTTAAGAGCAGTGGACTCGTAATCTGGTGAACCGGGTTCATGTCTCCGCTCCTCCACAGGCAGCTGCTGGGTGACCTTGGGCTAGTCACACTTCTTTGAAGTCTCTCAGCCCCACTCACCTCACAGAGTGTTTGTTGTGGGGGAGGAAGGGAAAGGAGAATGTTAGCCACTTTGAGACTCCTTAAAGGGAGTGAAAGGCGGGATATCAAATCCAAACTCCTCTTCTTCTTCTTACTATGAAATGCCCTTCTTTCTGCCATACGTACAACAGCAGCCATCAGTTGCTTCAGATGTTGTGTTTGTGTGTGTATATTTGCCCAGGCTTTTCAGACTCAAAATAGCAGACTCTGGCTGCAGTCACATGGCAGTTTATTCTGTTTTCACAACTTTTCCCTAACTGTTAAGTTCCACATTATTGTTTGAGCTTTCATGCAATCTAAAAACCTCTTCTGGAATTTTAGTGGGATGCTGCGCAATTTGGCTGCTCTTTTCCATGTTATTTGCTTCCAGGGGAAAATCCATTTGCAAATAATGTGTTATATTCCACAATAGTTCCACAATATGCCACCATAGTTCCAGAGCTAGCTTTTACATTGTTTGGAAGTTCATTTGTAACGTGGAAATTAATAGCTAGGGAAATGTAATGAAAATGGAATAAACTGCCATGTTGTCATATAATATAACTGTGGAATTGTATGGGACCCCAAGAGTCATCTAGCCCAATTGTCTTCAGTTGTCTTCAATGCAGGAATCACAACTAAACAATCCCTGACCTGATCCTATGCATGCTTCCTGGGGAATAATTGCCCCTGAAATCAATGGGATGTTTTCTGAGTAAGCAGGGGCGCCATCTTGCTCTCAGGATTGTGGGTGCCCACCACCGCAACATGGACTGTGACGTCTCTCTCTCTCACACACGCCTACAGGTAGTGTGCGTGATGTCACACACACTAAGTGCAGGCAGGTGTGTGTGACATCACACATCCCCATTGTGGTGGCCGGCAGTGGCAGCAGGTCCTCTTCCTCCTCCTCTCCGCACCCAGTGAGGCACCCTTTTTTTGAGGAGAGGGGCTCAGGCTCAGAGACAGGGAGACCCTGCGTCCGTGTCTGAGCCCCCCCCCCCAAAAGGGTGCCTTGCTTGCTGGCTGCGGAGGGCAGAGATGAACTGCTTCTCTCTCGGAGGCAGCACTGCTGCTGCCTGCCGGCTTTTCTCATTGACTTTGTGGGTTCCCAGCCCCCACAATTATATTATTGTGGGTGCCCAAGCACCCATGGCCCCCTGGAGTTGGCTCCTATGTGAGTAAGCCTACACCAGGCTGTGAGCCCAACCATGATTCATATCATGTTCAGCTGTGTTTAAACCTACTAAGGTGGATTACATCTTTTTTTCCAAGTTAGGTTGCCAACTGGCCAGGAAAAATAATGTTATGTACTGAGTTGAATAGGATCCAAAATGCAGCAGTCTGATTGGTCCTAGAACAATAGGATTCAGAATGCAGCAGTCTGATTGGTCCACAGGAGCCACCCAATCCAGCTCCAGGTGGAAGTGAATCTGCAACCTGATTGGCCCACAGGAGAATCCCGGAATTAGCCAATCACGTGGGGCCCATTGTGTAAATAATGTATATAAAGCAGACATTCTGGGGGAACTTCCATTCCTCCTTGCCACTATGAGCTGAATAAAGAGCATGAAATCCACTCTCGACTCCAAGTATATATCAAACAACAACAACAACAAAGCAGCCCTTAGTTACTCCTCTGCCTTTTAACAGACTTGATGGGCAGAGGAGAAGACACATTTGGGCGTTTTCCATGGCATGAAACCAAACATCATCACCCTGCTAATTACAGGAACCTGGTCAGGAGTTCTCAACCCTCTTCAAAGAGATTGGGAGAATAGATTGGGTCTGTTGAAATAAATGTCATGTCTCAAATGCAGGCGCAGGGACTGCAGAAAAACTCAGCAAAGCAGCAAGGCCCCAGTGCCTCTGCCGTCACCCCCAAAGAGTTTGCTCCAAATTTACACCCCTTTTTCATTTGCAAGTATTGCAGAGTGCATGTTGCGTGGCGCTACTAAGCCTGCTTTCATTCAGTTCAGCGGCAGAATGCTCTCTGACCATTAAAACGGCGCCACGCTGTGCCAGGCAGGCTCTTGTGGGGAGATAATACTGCGCTGCTCAAAAGCAGCATGCAGCGAAAGGAAGGGAAGAAGACAATTATATCAAAAAGCTGGGGGACCCCTCTGGTTCACAAAGCCCATCTAAAACGAGAGTGAGAGAAAGAGATAAATATTTTACTCTGAGGTTGTGAATTGCCTAATGCAGAAGAAGCAGCATTTCTGTGAAACAGTCAGGTAATTGGAAAGTTACTTCAGGGCAAATGGAGCATTTTGGACTGAGCTTCTGCAGCAAAAGGAATAATTTGCTTGCATGTCACCAGCTAGCTAACAAGCTCACTGTGTTAGGCACATGGCCCAGTGGTAGAACAGACCCCCCTGCATGCAGAAGACTCCAAGTTCAAACTCTCCCATCACCTCTAGTCTTAAAAGGATCCCAAGTAGCAAGTGTGAAAGACCCCTGCTTGATACCTCAGGAAGCCCCTCTTAGCCAGAGAGCACCAGACTGTGCCATCTTGATGGCTTGACCCAATATCTTCTTCTTCTTTGGTGATCACTCATAGCCACGTAAGATTGTCTTCCATAAACAGGGTTTCAACAATGAGTCCGTAAGTGACTGTGGAGGCCAATTCCACACTGAGGACTTTGGTTTTTGGGCGGTTTCCAAGTCCTTCCACAGTGCGGACATTGGTTTCCGGGCGGGAGTTGATCACAGTGTGGATTTGCCAAGTACGCCTTCCTCTTAGCACGTTTCTCCCTTGCGTCCTGAGTTCGAGTGTCTTCAAAGCCCGTGACACCTTTGGTAAAGGCTGTTCTCCAACTGGAGTGCTCACAGACCCGTGTTTCCCAGTTGTCAGTGTTGATACTACATTTTTTAAGATTTGCCTTGAGACACTCTTTAAACCTCTTTTGTTGACCACCAGCATTACACTTTCTATTTTTAAGTTTGGAATAGAGTAGTTGCTTTGGAAGACGATCATCAGGTATCCACACAACATGACCAGTCCAACAAAGTTGATGTTGAAGAATCATTGCTTCAACACTGGTGATCTAGGTAGGTCACTTCACCTCATTTATTTATTTTTCTTTGGACCACTTGAAAATTGCTGGCTTCTCAGTGGACATCTGAAAAATAAATTATATTCAGAGTAGTATATTGTCACAGCATGCCTGACAGGACCGTCTGAAGGTAGGCAGAAGTTCCGTTAAACAGTCCTTTGACTGGAGTGCTTGCTGGCCTTGAATTCAAATGTTTTTATTAGAGGCATGGCCCAGTGAGACCAAATGATACTCTTCATCAGTGCTTTTTTTCTGGGGGGACGCAGGGGTATGCATACCCCTAAACATTTTGTGAATCTAAATTTGGCCACATTGAGGGGCAGTATTTCAATATGAGTAGGAAAATGAGAGTACCCCTAAACATTATTATTTTTCTTAGAAAAAAGCAGTGCTCTTCATTTTGTTTTTTGTTCCTCTTTTTAAAGAAGAAGATCCCTTTCAAGAACAGTCTTCATTTATCAGCATTACTGCTTTCTGGAACTAGTGCAATCTTAGATAGCCAAGTCAAATAGATGAGGCACAATTTAAAAAACAAAACAAAAAAACCACAAATGAACTAGAGTAACTTACGTGTAGGCTGTTACGGACAAAGGAGGGTATTCAACCAACACATCAGAAGCGTTGGCCTTCTGAGCTTGTGTTCTGCGTTGTAAGGACTTGACAACAGCATAGCTCCAGAGCAAAGGAAACTGCTCCTCTACAGAGCATTATATGCACACACTACCACTGATTTCTATACATCCTCCATTATACAGGGCTCCCAGCACCATAATAAGGCAAGCAAACCCCATTTTCTGAAATTTACCAAAAATAGCCAAATAGATGGTTTTATTTTGTTCCAAAACAAATAGAAAATTGTGATTCAGGGATGAAGGGGAGGGGACCTGACTGAATAGGAGCATGGATGCCATAATCCTCAAGATGTATCATCATGTACTCAGGATACCACTCCCTAGTGGTCAGACCTAGTGGTGGGAGGAAAAAATCCTTAAATAAGAGACACGGGGGAATGATTAATGGACTTCAATGTCTGTACACTAATGCGCAAAGCATGGGAAATAAACAAGATGAGCTTGAGCTCTTGGTACAGCAAACTAAATATGACATAATAGGCATCACTGAAACCTGGTGGGATAAGTCCCACGATTGGAATGTAATAATGGGAGGATACAATCTATTTCAGAGAAACACACCAGACAAGAAAGGAGGAGGAGTGGCGTTATATGTCAGGGATGTGTATACCTGTGAAGAGATCCAAGATTTAGAACCTCAAAGCCAAAGTGAGAGCATTTGGGTCAAAATTAAGGGAGAGAAGAATAACAGTGACCTCATTGTGGGAGTTTACTATAGATCCCCAAGCCAAACGGAGGACATAGATGATGCCTTCCTGGAACAGATGGCCAAGCATGCAAAAGGAAGGGAGATAGTAGTAATGGGGGACTTCAATTACCCGGATATTTGTTGGATGTCAAACTCAGCCAAGAGCATAAGGTCAAACAGATTCCTCACTGGCCTTGCAGACAACTTCATTGTCCAGAAAGTGGGAGAAGCAACAAGAGGAACAGCCATTTTAGATCTGGTCCTAACCAATGTTGATGACCTGGTTAGTGGGGTAGAAGTGGAAGGATCATTAGGCGCGAGTGATCATGCTCTTCTGAAGTTTACTATACAGCGGAAAGGAGCAGCCAAGCATACTAGGACTCAATTTCTTGACTTTAAGAAAACTGACTTCATAAAACTTAGGGAAGTGCTAGGTGAGATCCCATGGACAGTAATACTAAAAGAAAAGGGAGTTCATGATGGCTGGGAGTTTGTTAAGAGGGAGATAGTAAAAGCACAACGTCAGGCAATACCAATGAGACGGAAACATGGAAGGTGCCTAAAGAAGCCAGGGTGGCTATCTAAAGAACTTTTAACTGAGTTAAGATTAAAAAGGATGTGTACAAAAATTGGAAAAGGGGGGAAACCACCAAAGAGGAATTCAAACAAATAGCCAGCATGTGTAGACACAAAGTCAGAAAAGCTAAAGCACAGAATGAACTCAGGCTTGCTAGAGAGGTTAAAAGCAACAAAAAAGGCTTTTATGGGTATGTCCGTAGCAAAAGGAAGAACAAAGAAACAGTGGGGTCACTCAGAGGAGAAGATGGTGAAATGCAAACAGGGGACACAGAAAGGGCTGAACTCCTCAGTCTTCTCCGATAAAGAAAACAATGCCCGACCTGAAGAATTTGGAGCAAATGATTCAGCAAAGGAAACACAGCCCAGAATAACTAAGGAGCTGAAGGCAGCCCTGTTTCGGGAAGCTTTTAATGTTTGATGTATTATAGTATTTTAATATTCTTTTGGAAGCCGCCCAGAGTGGCCGGGGAAGCCCAGCCAGATGGGCGGGGTATAAATAATAAATTATTATTATTATTATTATTATTATTATTATTATTATTATTAGGAGATAGTACAAGAATACTTGGCTAGTTTAGATGTATTCAAGTCTCCAGGGCCAGATGAACTGCATCCAAGAGTATTAAAAGAACTGGCAGATGTGATCTCAGAACCACTGGCAGTCATCTTTGAGAATTCCTGGAGAACAGGCGAAGTCCTGGCAGACTGGAGGAGGGCAGATGTTGTCCCTATTTTCAAAAAGGGGAAAAGAGAGGACCCAAATAATTACCGCCCAGTCAGTCTGACATCAATACCAGGGAAGATTCTGGAGCAGATCATTAAGC